CATTTTGTCCAATTTCAACCAAACTTGGCAGGATTGTTCCATGGGTAAAGGGCTTGCAAAATTGTTCAAAGAATTCCATAAGGCCTAGAGCTTAGATATTTTGCATAAGGCATTATCTGGTAGACCTCCATCAAGAGTGTTCACATTTTACCACTGGGGTCAAAATTGGCTCCCCCCCCCCCTTGGGGGATCATAGGTTTTCCATATATGTATTTAGTATAAACTTGAAATTTTATACTATGAATTGTCAAAGGCTAGAGGTAAGATATTTGTCATGAAACGTTGTGTAGTGGAACTCTACCAAGATTGTTAAATTTATAGTCCTAGAGTCGAAATTTGCCTCGCCCATGGGGTCATATATAAAGGTTTGTGTTATACATTTGTTTGTGTGTATAAAGTATTTGTTTTTTAAATCTTCTTGTCTGAAGGTTTAGGCTTAGAGATTAGATACATGGTATGTAATATTATCAGTAGGTCCTCTACCAAAATTATTCAAACTAGAATGAATTGCTCCCAGGGTGTCATATGTTTTCCTTATATGTATATATAGTAAATCTTAAAAAAAGCTTCTCTTCTCAATATACAAAGGCTAGCCGTTAGATAGTTGGCATGAAACCTTCACATGTGTAGTAGACCTCGACCAAGATTGTTCAAATTATATAGCCCTGGGGTCAAAATTGGCTCCGCCAGGGGGTCATATGTTTTCCTTATATGTATACATGGTATATACTTAAAACTATGGCGTGCATTTTTTCCAGTGTGTGTGTTTGGCATGTAACTTTTAATCTTGCTGGATGATTCAATTCCACATTTTTATAGACTTAAGAATCCATTTTACTATTTCAATATTGTATACTGTAGATAATAAACAGGTTTTTCGCAAACTGATTTCTTTATTGCTCTTTAGTTTTGCAAACCATATAGTCTAGCATCTTAATTGCCTGGCAAAATACAGCCCTAGTCTGTAGGAACGAAACCTCTTCCTTGTCCCATTAGTAACCTCAGTGCTTGCAGTGCTTTGATTTAGAATATAATCTTGAGCATTTATCAAATTGCACTAAATCAAATATATGTTAACGTCTGGTGGGTTTTGTATTAATAAAATATCTATCAGATAAATAACAACACAATTATTTGTATTCATATGAAAATGACGACTGTATAAAAATTCCAGTAAAATGTGACTTTTAATACATATCCGCGTTTTGGGAAATCATAGCATTCGCACAATAGTTATACCACTAAATGTTGAATTCATTTTGGTATAAATTGGTATATAATTCGTGTTATTTGGAGTGTGTATAAGACCGTACGTGTGATTATCACGGCACTACTCCCAACCGTGTGATTATAACGCGGCGTGGTAATAAAGCAAATTATACAATTATACAAATAGTAGTGTACTAAAAAAGTTTACCAATAAACGCAGAACTATTTGTTTATTTCATTTATTTATTTAATTTTTTTTTGAAGAAAAAGATTTATCATTCGGATAAAACTGAAAAATAATATAAAGTCCTGAGTGCGATTATCACGGCATTATCCATAACCGCGCCGCATAATAATCACACGCGTGGTTTCGCGTAATTATCACACGGTCTTAACCAGAGCAGAACCACTTCATAAATTTTTAAAAATATTGAACACAGGTTAATTCAAATTGTCATATTTGTTTTCAGTTTCATTGTTAACGTTGCTTGAATAATCAGTAACCCCGTGACCCTTAATATATATCAATATCCTTCGGTATTTATCGGAAATGTTCAATTTATAAAAAAAAGAAAGAATGGGCAGTGTTTTAATTCTTAAGCATTTTTTATATTGGATGCTACATACTTATCAATAACTGTTAAATCACCATAATAACTGTCAATGTTTTGACAAAAAAGCTTGACATTGAATATGGTAAGCATGTCACTTTAACGGAACTCTGACTAGTTGAATGTTGTGCGATACTATTATCGTGATTGCCCATTATCCTTTTCGTATGTCTGTATCCGTATCATATGCATGTGCAAGTTGTAGTAACAGATTAGATAAATAATCTGTTCTATTCATATTAAATGGAGGGTTAAGTTCAACCACACCCACTTAAAGTGTGGTATTAGTAATAAGCAAAATAAATCGCTTAAAAGTAGTATGCGAAATGTATACGTTGGTTGTGTTGTTAAATTTGCATAGTAAATAAATGTACTATTCTTCTAAATTCAATTACTTCCCGTTAATCTTAGAATAATTTACATAAATCGGTCGTTCCATTACGATTTAATGGGTTGTGGAAGTTCTCAAATTATCACATTTTTATTACAATACATGTATAGAAAAAAAAAAAAAGTGGATATAGATTAGTAAATCCAAGTAGCGTACTGGTTAGAGAGCTCAGATTATGAAGATCTCAGGCTATGAATTCAAATCGGCAATTGTGCACATTTTTTTATTATGTTTTTTACTTTCAGAATATATATTTTTATAGCGTGTCACGTAACTTTTCATGTTCTCTTTTATAATGTTTTGCACACTTTATGATTAAACTTATGACAGTGAAGCAAAATTGAATGCTTTTGATATTGAACTGTCATTGAACAGTTTGAATAGTATTATCAATTTGTTCAGTTTGATTATCTGAATTCTATTCGCCACATATTTAACACTTTTGGCTCATTTGTACATATATTTTTCCGTTGCCCGTTTATCACACTAATCACAACTGTGTTGTTTTATACTTAAGCTGTTGCATGCGAATTTGTCCATAAAATTTTCTCAAATAGCATTTTGTAAATGGAATTCACAACAACAACAAGTACAAAAGAAATGTAAAAAAATCAATTTTTTTTCAAGATGCTTCTGTGTTGTATATCAAAAGTGTATGTAAAAAGAAAGACAATTATTTGACACAATTCATTTTGGAAAACAATAATATTGCATGTGTGGTGAAATATAAAACCATGCGTGCAATTATCACGGCTTTACTGTCGCAGGCGGTTTATACATTTTTCCGAGATCTTGTATAACATCAAAACATTTTAAAAGTTTGCTAAACTTTCAGCTGAAGACATATGTAGACACAAAATTGATTTCAGAGAAAATAGTATTATACTTTACAAAATTCAAATATGTAATATATGATAAAATTTAATTTCGTACGCATGACCGTTGTTACTTCAGGGCGATATAATCAAACACGTGCACTATTATAATTTCTTATACAAATTATACATTTCGGAAATATACGTAGGTATATCTGATTGCACTTTTATTGATAACCATTATTCTATTATTTAATGTTATAACTTACCTTCAAACGATTCGACTTGTTAAGATAATGTTATTATAATTAAGGAAAAATGACACATCAATGATTGTCTATTTACATCCCTTACAAAACATAACAAACACGCATAGCTTTTATCAATATTTAAAATCACAACTGTCTTGAACACAAAGTGAAAAGTAGGACAAAAACTTTTAAAAACTAATTTATCAGAACATAATTATAATTTTTAATAACGAATGTTAAAACCTCCCGTGTGTTAGAAAATTAATGAATTCCCATAAAAGTTATACCATTAGATGCGGAATTCGTTTTGCAATAACATGGTATATAATTTAACTATTTTGGAGTATTTAATACCGTATGATTCTAACGGCACTACCCCAACCGTGTGATTATTACGCCGCCGCGTAATAATCACGCGCGTGGTAATATTACCACGCGTGTGATAATTACGCGACACCGGATCTAAGCATGAAATGAAAGCACCAAACAGTACCGAAAATCATTTAGTTCCTACACATAAAAAGACGTACCTTATTTTGTTTTATGAAATTATGATATTTTATCTTTTAAACGTTGTCAAAATAGCAGAAAACAAGATTTTTGTTCAAGACATATGACCAGGTTGTAATAACTCGCAAAATTATTTGCGACTTACGATATGTATATATTTACCCATGGTGTATACATGTTAGGATCAAGGGGAGCCACACGCCTAACTTCAATTGCCTTTGTTATTTTTTGCAACAAAGAAGGTTTTTCGGTATTGAAATCCTTACGGAATTAAATGTGTTAATCAAGAAGTAAATTACTGTTGTAGTGCTATTATTTCAATGTCATATGTAGTTGTTCTATTACGCATGATAATTGACCTTGACACATATGTCACAATTAATCGAATTTTGATAAATTGTTTACTTAAATTTACCAATCAGCAATTTGAAGTTTTTGTATTACTGTTTTTGTATCAGAATGGTAATTTTGTTTTGTTAAAGTGACATTTGAACAAAGATTATGTATAAATTTCGTATGCATTTGTATAACTGAGTATTTAAATGACACTCAGCAGTATGGACTAAAGTAAAGATTTACTTATCAAAAGCTTCCGATATATTAAGTTAATAACCAACATGTTATTCAATATTAATTCACTTGAAGGAATATCCCCTTCAGTAGCTTTCAAACTTTTTGTACTACTTGCGTGTGTCCCGAATTGGTCCATGCCTTGTAGTTTATTCTTGTTCCCTCCTCTGATTTTCTTTACGGTTAATTTGTTAATGATTTTTCGTTTGTCGAAGCATGTAAACAGTATGGGAATTGATCGTATTAGCTTCGTAGAACCGTTTTAAGTAATGTAACTTGTTTATACTTTAACAACTTCATCTGATAACAGCATTTTTAAAAAATCATTAAACGCACGTTTAATTTTAATCCTTTTGTTTTTATTTCTTTATTCTTTAAACCTCGTGTTTATTAAAGCTATATTGTGTGTTTTTGTCTTTTTGTTGTATACGGTTAAATATAAGTAATATCTAATAATTGTTGACAGGCATAACTATATGCGAACTGTATAGTCTGATACGGTACAAACTTCAGTTTTTTCCTTGTATTTTCTTAATAACGTTCATGTTTAGTAAATATTAAGTAAATTATCTGCTGATGCTAAATTTACAAATATTTAAAGGATTGTGCTTAAAAATATTATGTTTTGTTCTTCTTAATTCAGTATCCCTGTCAACTGATATCACGGTAACACCAAAAGTATTAGATGATGTAGAGGAAAGAAGCGTTTCCTTCAAATGTGTTCACAATGGAACAGGGTTAAGAATGGCATGGCAACGGAAAGATGGGAGTAATATTTGCCTATTTGCAACACATGATTGTAGGGCTCACATTACAACACACGACAGAACCATGTGCACTTGTGAAAAAGATTCTAAATACAATACAACCGTTTCTTTACAAATATTTAATATCTCAAGTGCTGATCACAATACTACCTGGCTTTGCACAGTTACTGATATGTCAGAAATCGTCAGTAAAAGAGCTTCTTTATTAGTCAAAGGTATGTATAAAAATAAAATATATTATTCTCTCAAAATGTAAATAGACTTTATTGGTCTTTTCTTAACGAAAATGCAATGTAGCATGCTAAATTACATGACATAAACACAATTTTAACTGGAAATGTTGTTTATATTTTTATTTAGTTTTTGAAATGGCTCGTAAAACATATAAGTCACTATTCAGTTTACAAATAAAAGTATATTGCATTCAACGTCCCATTTCAAACTCCAACTATTTATGTCGAATGTGGTAAAACTAAAATTAAATTGCTTTATAACAAAAATAAATATAAATGCATTCATAAGTAAAAAATAAACTGATCATCACTGATATCAGTGTTTTATAAAGAAAAACAACACTTATCTCATACTTTATAACTGATACTAACGAAGCTTTGATTCATCTGGCATTGGCCAAATGGCTATCTGCGATGTTTATAATTTACACTTAAATCGATAATAAAAAGATAGATCTGTTATGATGTTTATACAAATAAAAATATCATGAAATAAATTCATCAAATGGTTAATCTAAAATGCAAAGAACATACATACTTATCAAGACTTGATATATCGAAATATCTCGATATACTTTCAAATTTCTATATTAAGAGTCAGTGACAAAAAGATAATGATGTCTCATTTGAATTAAGTTCCAGTTAAAGCATTGTCTATCAAGCCAAATGAGAAGTCCATACAGATTTCTGAAAATAAAACTACAACGTTTACTTGCAACACTTCCTACAGTCGGCCGATTCCTGAGATTCAATGGCTTGTAAAGAATCACAGTCATTTGCAATTAACTGGAGAGCAAACAAATGGAACAAACCCTAAGGGTTTGACTTCATCGGAGAGTACACTTATTTTCAAACCTAGCAGAACATACAACGGATGGAAACTTTATTGTTTTGTCAACAAGTCGGAAGTTCAAAAAGAAAGCATGTCATCAAGTTTGATAACACTGAATGTAACATGTAAGTCCAAAAGGCATAATCAAACCGAGCACGCAACATTTGCAATTTTCCGTTTTGTGTGTTCTTTAAGGCTTTTATATTTGTTACTTTACCGCCATAGCAATGTTCTTTCACAATAGCTCTAAGTTCATTTTCGAATTTTGAATTCAATGTTTGTTGTTTTATTTCCGGTTTTAATTTTTTTCTAAAGATATCATTTTAAAACACTTATTTATCGTTATCTAAAATTATTTTTTGTTTCAGATCCACCTGACTTAACGCTAATGATAAATGGGTCTCCTCCAAATGGAAATTATTATGTTATTAAACATAGCATAGGCACTTTAACTTGCAAAATCACCGGAGGAAATCCTAAGCCATCATTGTCATGGACTCGATGTTTTGATAATGACATTTATACTAGCTCTGGCAGCTCATCTACAACAGAAAGTGAGACAAATACGTTGACTTGGCAGGCAATGTCTGACACTGATAGATCATGCACTTGTCAGTCCATTCAAATAGAGAGAAATGACTCTGTGTCTATAAATATCAAAGTTTTATGTAAGTTTGAACTTAAAACTTGTTTCTCTCTCAGATTGATTAAAATATTCGGCAACTAGATTGAGATGATAGCTTCTTCGTTGGTATTCATTTACAAATTTACAATTTATATGCACATTGAATTAAGAGGCACATTAAGCAAAAAATTTGAAAAGTGTATTTGCCGGATATTTTTCAAATGTTAAGATATTCTTTTTAGCTTTATTTGCGTTAAAACATTAAATTATTTATCAACTAACTGATCATTTTTCTTTGTTTGAAGATCCTCCTTCCATACCAATACTCACGTTTGGTTCATTAAATGTGTCAGGAAACATATATATTATACAAAACGAACAACTGTTGTTGGATTGTAGTAGCAATAGTAAGCCCCCTCCAACTTATAAATGGGAAGCAAAACACATACAAGTGACTTTCAATAGAACATTGCAAATTCTGGAGACGGAAAAGATGCACAAAGGAAATTATACGTGTCTTGTTACTAATACAATGAACGCAACCGAGAGAATACAGAATGGTTCAAGTAGAAGCACTGTTGAAGTCCATGTTCTTTGTAAGTATTGAACTATTATTCTTCATCGACGACATTTACTTTTAACACTCTTAACACAAACTAAAAAGATTGACATGCATTTCCCTGCTTTAACCAGTATACTATAAATCTCTAAATGACCTATTTATTCTGTTCTATTTCAACAAAATTTATATGGAAACATTATATTGTTAAGCTGTCGTTGAATGTATGAGATCTTGATTTTTTAAGATAAAAGGAAATATTATATTTCTTTTTTCATTTCTCAGCTTTAATTTTAAAGCTGCACGCCTCCAGATTAGCCAAAATATTTCAAGAAAATCAATATTGAGAAAATGTACAAACATTTTAAGAAAGGTAAAAACATTCAAAATCCAAGTTATAATTTTCATGTTATGTGCGATCTAAGATTGATTTTGCAGTATTTTATTACCATATTTCTACAGCGTTACTAACGCAGTAAGGGCTATTTTTGCATATCTTGACATCTTTTTCGTAATTGTCTCGATTGCAATATATAATTACATTTTTATGTACTTTTTTGTTCACCTCGCAATATTTTACTTTGAAATACATTTCCAAATTTTTCATGAAAATTAACATGAATCTGGAGGCGTGCTGCTTTAAATGTTGTCTTATACATATAGACTCAATATTGGCAAGTCCTAAAATCCAAATCTTTATTATAGCAAAAACAAAAAATGGCAATTTTGTAGTCTGTATTACAGAGGCAAATTCTAAATTAAAGTATAAACGCGATTAAAACTAATGTTTTCTTGTTGAATATATATCATTATAATGAAACGTGGTTCGTGCAAGTAACCTGACATCAATGGACTAAGATTAATCTAACGCTAAGATTGTAATTTCTTCTAATTAATCTTAAAATTTAAAACAAAGTTTTGCTCACTTCTGGCCGTTTTACCCTATCTCCAAAACTGGTACATAATGTAACACGATGACGTACATCCATATCTGTTGACAAAGACGACTTTTATTAAAACGTAAAACATACATCATTAAATCAGAAAACATTTTTCAGACTAAATGTGCCAAAGACTGATATCATTTGTTACCTATAGAATTTTAATGCTTTTTACTAGACTTAAAACCTACTGTCTTTGCTCGTAACACACTATATCCGATCTGATTTTGATATAGACAAACATTGTTAATAGTTCAATGAAGATGAAATAAAAGATTTTCACCGCCAGATTCTAAATAAAATGTGCCAATTAAATAGCAATAGGGATATATTTTTTACAATGGGAACAATGTGTGTTATGTTATCAAATTAAATTAAAAAAATATGATAGATATATGAAAAGAAATATCAAAATTCAAAGATAAACTTTTTGATAAATGTTTGGAAAGTATATAAAAACATTTCCTTAGCACCAAAGATTTTCCAACACGGTCATAAAATATGTTAACCAAACAATTTTAAAAGAAAGTCCAAGACTTACACAGCAGTATATATATATATATATATATATATTATATATATATATATATATATATATATATATATATATATATATATATATATATATATATATATACAGTCACATTCCTCCATTTACGGGGCATCGGTCTATTTGAGACCATACTTGTGGGGTTTATATTTAATGTGGGGCATACATAAGGCCTCGCAACTCTGGCATGTTTAAAACGATGTATGGGGGCGTAGGCTACCCTTCTAACATAGTGCCCGTAGGCCGGTTTTAGTAGTAAATGATATATGTCCCACAAATGTATATATTTTTAATGGGGTTTTATGTTATTGGTCAATATGTTTTTCACCTATGGTAAAATCAAATATATAGTTTATATATATAAATTAGTACCCCTTAGTTCTGTTGTATGGAAATGTTCATTATAGGCCTATATAGTGGCGTATATAAAAACTGACTGCATGAAATAATGCCACTCAACTCGGTCTTATATATGGGCCCCGTAAGTGAAGATATGTGTGAATATATATATATATATATATATTATATATATATATATATATATATATATATATATATATATATATATCATTTTGATTTGGGACAGTATATACATCTGTATAAAAAATACAACTACATATCACATTCAAATATTTTAGCTTTACACTTCAGGACCAATTTTCATTTCCTTTCTGTTCAACTGTCCAATTTCTTGTAATTAAAATAGTTTACAGAGTAATTATATCGTGAAACAAGGCTAAAATTAAACCATGCGTAAACACGCTTCTCCATCTAAAGGGGAACTGTCCAATTTCATGTAATTAAAATAGTTTACCGAGTTATTATATCGTGCAACAAGGCTAAAATTAAATCATGCGTAAACACGCTTCTCCATCTAAAGAGGAACAAAACGCGTAGTGTATCGGACAAAACGCATCGGTGTCAAAGCTGTTGCATTACATCTGAATGTTTCAGTATACCTTTTTGTTTACTTTTTTAAACTAGAAAACAAGTTAATTTGGAAGAAATTGAAACATAATTACATTTGAAGTATTTGTATTTTTTGTTTTGAGATGATTTGGATAATGCTGGGGGTCATAGTTCTGGTTTCCAAACTTTAATAGTCGTTTGTATGTTATGGTTGGATTGGATAATTTATGAGTATGTTGCCTTTAACGCCTTATCAATTATGTTTATATTTGAAATGAAGGTTTTATTTTCAATCCCTTTCCGCGTAGCGGAAAGGGGATTACAGGAATGGCCTCCGTCTGTCAGTCCGTCCGTCTGTCCTTCTGTCCGTCCGTAACACTTTCGTGTCCGCTACATAACTTTTACACCGCTATTTTTTTTTAAACTTGGCACAAATAATCACCACAATGAGACGATGTGCAGAGCGCAATAATTGGGTTGCTACCCCCAAGGTCAAGGTCACACGTAAAGGTCAAATGTTAAATCGTCATTGCTTTATTAAAAGTCTACATTTCGTGTCCGCTCCATAACATTTTAACTGTTGATTTTTTTAAAAATAATTTGGAACAAGTGACACACTAATACAACAATGTGCAACGCTCAATAATTGGGTTTAAGGTAGAGGTCACACTTAAAGGTCAAATGTAAAAAATTCATATTAAAAGTTTAAATTTTGTATCTGCTCCATATCTTTTTAACCGCTGATTTTTTTTAAAAAACTTGTCACAACTGATCATTATTATAAGACAACGTGCAGAGCGCGAAAATTGACGTGTTTCCCACAATGTCAAGGTAACACTTTAAGGAATAATGTTAAAAATTCTACATTTCGTGTCCGCTCGAAATCTTTTTAACCCCTAAAGTTTTTAAAAAAAATAACTTGGCACAATTGATCACCATTATAAGCACATGTACAGAGCACAATAATTGGCTTGCTACCCAAACTGTCAAGGTCACCCTTTAAGGAATAATGTTAAAAAGTCTACATTTCGTGTCCGCTCCATAACTTTTAACCCTAAAGTTTAAAAAAAGTTTATTTGAAGTCGGATTTTACATCTGTTTCACAGAAATGATCACCATATTGAGACAACGTGTCGCGCGCAACATTTGGGTCACTACCTTGAAGGTCAAGGCCACAGCATGACTTGTAGCAAAATCGTGTCCGGCCCATAACTTCCTTATTTGAAGTCGGATTTTACAACTATTTCACAAAAATGATCACCATATTAAGACGACGTGTCGTGCGCAAGTCGGTAGATAGATTTCATTGAGTAGAAGTGCAGTGCAAAAAACAGTAACTCTGCCTTGCCTAAGTTTTGAATTATCACACTTTGAACTTTGTCTGGGACATAACTCTGCAACTACAACATATATACTTGTCTATGTCCAAAATCTAGTCGGGGAGCATCACCCGTTTCAATCGCCTCTTGTTTTGAATAGCTTGGCACAAGTGGTCAACATTATGAGACAATGTGCAGAGCTCAATAATTGGGTTGCTATTCCCAAGGTCAGAGTCACACTTAAAGGTCAAGTGTTTAAAGGTATACAATTCGTGTCCGGTCTATAACATTTTAACCGCTGAAAAGTTTTTTTTTAAATAACTTGGCACGAGTGATTACCATTATGAGACAATGTGCAGAGCGCAATAATTGAATTGCTACACCCAAGGTCAATGTCACAGACACAGGACAAATAAGGAAGTCTACATTTAGTGTCGTTCTGCAATGTTTTTAAGATAACTTGACAGAAATGATCACCATTATGACACCATTGGCAGAGCACAATTATCAAGTCACAACCCTGAAGGTCAGGGTCACACACAAAGGTCCAATGTCAAAAAACATATATTTTTCATGTCCGCTCTATAACTTATTGACAATTCATAGGTTTTTAAATTACTTGGCACAAATGATCACCATGAGACAATCTGCAGAGTTCAACATCCAGGTTGCTACCCCCAAGGTCGATATTATATGTTCTCCATAACCTTTTTTTTACTTTATGGAAGATTTTAAATAACATGACACGAATAATCACCATTATTATTTATTATAATTATTAAATACCACATTTCTATATCACTATTTTCATAAATAATAAATGTTCAATAGTGCTTTACATAAATCTGATAAAATATAATCATATACGAGGGGTTACCCAAAAATTCGTGGACTTTTTAAATATCTCTTGAACGTCAACGTGTATTGTAATGAAATTTTATCAGCATACATTGTAGAATATTATCAACGCATTTTGAAAGGAACAGTCAATTGTGTCCATAAATAATGATTTTATATTGCTTTCAAATAAGCACATACACGGCACCCGGCGCACGGTAGAAAAAATGCAGTAAGTCTTCGTATATTTCTTGCTAAAAAACTAAAAAATAACGTAGAAAACCCGCTGAACATCGCATGTTTCTTCTTTGATGCCATTTAAGTAATTCTTTAAAATAATGGACGTCAGTTCCGTTTATTTTTGTTGATATCGCTAGAAACGCCAGACGCCTTTATTGTTTACAACGGGAAAATGACGGACACGCGGTAATTAGAAAATCGTGCGATCATACATGTAAAACGATCATAAATTTTGGTTGTA